TTTAGACAATGGTTTTGTTGGGATAACTGGAGGCCAGAAGACATCTGTATTTGAAGGACTATTTTAGCACATAACAAATTATTAACCAAAAAAAACACAAAAACTAACTAATTTTCCCTCCTCCTAAGCTTCCTGGCAGGCAGTCAGTTCTAAAATTCTAAAGTTTAAGGTGCTGTCAGGTATTGCCTAAGATAAAAACCTATATTGTCAGGCAGAAAAATTCTGCCCAGGGCTTTAGTTGCTTAGAAAAGGTGATGATGTATCTGAAAAGTTGAGTTTCAGAAAGAAAGGAAAAAAGAGAAATCCCACTCCCTCACCTCCCCATACACACACATACTGGAAAACAGACCTTCCTCCAAGTTATCCAAAGGTTCCTCAGCCATGCCAACTCCGGGACTCCTGCACTCGTGGGAGGGCAACACCACCTCTAAAGCACAGAAGAACTTGAGGCTCTGCTTCTGAAGTGGTGTCACAATATCTGGCTTTTCCCTTTCTTCAAGGTTAGAAAGATCCTGAAGCTGTTAGGATTTTGAATTAAAGGCTAGACTTCAAAATATCCTGTTGTTAGAAATAAAAACTAAACTCCAGCAACCCCAGGTAATAGTTTAGGTATGCTATAGCTTCAAAATCAAGTGAGACTTGCAAATGAATGATTAGATATGGTCAACTATTTTTTATTATATACCATGCAAATACTGGAGAAAATTACGGACACCACCATCCAAGTCATTGAGATTATCACTAATTCTAGGTGGCAGGCCAATGCTCAGATACTTCCATGTGGAAGCCTCTCACATCTCCTCCCCAAAGCCCTGTTCTATTCTTCTCTCTAAAGTATAGGAGTTCAATGTTGGAAGGAGTCTGGTTAGTCAAAGAAAGTCTACAGAGTTTACCTTGATGATCCTTTTTGACCACCCATTGAAACCAAAGTAGTAATTTGCCAATTCTTGGCATCTGCAGCTGTTTAGGGCAAGCGTATTATGTTGAACCGCCTTATTACTGGTGCCGAGACGAACCTAAAGACATAAAAGACCTAAAAATATCACAACCCTACATAGAGGCTTATTTTGGATATACCTGAGATTTATCAATACCAATTTCATAGAGGGGCTGTGCAGATTAAGTAGCACATTTTAAGCAATGAGTTCACAGTGAGCCCTAAATAAATGTTATTTATTATTTTTAGGTCAGTACTTTTCTGCATCATTTCCAGGGCCCCTGATTAACCGGAAGGTTCCCTGACCGCTGGTGGTGAAAGTGATGATGAAAGCAACCAAGGAAGCCCAGCAGAAGCCTATTATGGGGCTGGGGGTAAGCAAAGGAAGTGAACTGTTTCAGTCGCCTCATCCTGTAGCTCCTGCTTGAGAATACGAGCTGAAGAGGAGATAAGATGGACCTGCCACTGAATTAGGACCTTAATCTGTAGCAGCCCCTCCCCAAGTTACTAACCCCTGTTAGAAGAGGGAATATGTATACCTCTCTAAATGTAAATAAAGCAACCAAAAGAATTAGAGGTTCATCTGCATTAACAAGCTTCTTTGAGAGTGCAAATATTTCCAGTCTTAACTCTCTCAATAACTTACATATTACTGTGGAGTTTTTACATCAGTAGTTCTTTCTTAAATGTCTATTTCCATTTTGAACAGCGTGTAGTATATAAATACAGTCATAAAAATTCAAATAATACAAAGAAAGTCAAAGCATTGTTAATTCTTTGATTTGTTTGTGCATCTTCCCCGTCACTAGTTTACGAGCTCCTTAAGTGCTTGAAGGAACCGTATATTATTCTTTCCGTGTTACCAGAAACAAGCATAGGTCTTGGCATATAATAGGGGAGTGATGGTCTGTTGACTGAGTGAATGAATGAGTACATAAGAAAATGAAATTATTTCCTCCAACTGAAGCTGCCTGCTGGGAAGGAGAAATGAAGACTAATTTTTAAATGTTGAGTGTCGCATGGGAGGCTAGGCCCTGTACGGTGAGTCATAATGGAGCTGTCCTGGACAATTAGGAAGCTTCAGAAGGGCTCTGAGCCCCTGGGTAGTAGAGACAGTTGACATCTGGGATAACCTTGCCACAGTTCTTGTTGGCAAACATATCCCTTCGTGCTACTGAGAAAAACTCAGATACATTAGGCCTTTCCTTCATTTTATTTTAAGATGTTATTATCTTTTCTGCATTTATAAAAACTACAGGGGAAAAAAGATAAGATGTATACCTGCCAATGAATAAAAGAACACATAATTGGAACTTCCCTGCTGGTGCAGTGGTTAAGACTCCATGCTCCCAAGGCAGGGGGCCTTGGTTCAATCCCTGGTCAGTGAATTATGTCTCACATGCATGCTGCAACTAAGAGTTTGCACACCACAGTTAAGGAGACTGCGAGCCACAACTAAGGAGCCTGCCTGCTGCAACTAAGACCCGGTGCAACCAAGTAAATAAATAAATAAAATTTTAAAAGAACGCATAATTAAAGTAGGTAACAATTTCGGGCGTGTGAGCAGTAAACTAAGGCTCTGCATTAAATAAGGAAATGTAATACGAATGCCCTTTCCTCTCAACTGTATAGTGACTTGTAGAACATTCTATCAGTGCCGAGCTTTATGCTGTGAAAATCTCAGAACCTAAGCTTATGCAATAGTCTTAATGTCCAATATAAGAAAAGAACTCAGTACTCACAACTGACACCAAGTAACTGTTTCATAATCTTTCCAGGACCATCTGTAATATCTGAGTGGTTATGTGAAATGGTCGCAGGGTGTGCAAACAAAAGAATGCCTGGCACAAAATCATTTCAATCCCAGGGAGAACAGCCAGGATTGAAGAGGGTGTTAAACAGGGTACAGAAGTGGGAGGTAGTGTACCTGGAGTCACATCTGAGGAGAGTTCTCAGATTCAATAAAGGTGAACTCAGTGAGTAAAGAAATATGGGTGAGAACAGGCAGCAAGGTCAGTAGGAAGTAGCCAGAGCGAGAAACCAATCAGAGAAGACACACAATTATAAAGGGAAAGGTCTGGAAATCTAAGCCTCACTCACTTATTCAGAGGAATTGAAAAGGTCCTTGAAAAAGGAATGGTGGCTGAATGGAGGCACATAATGAAATGTTAATTCTGGGCAAGTAAGATTGGATGGCATGTTAATATGGAATAAGGTTTCTACAATGCATGAAAGAATATTTTAACCATTTTCTGGAATGTGAAGGGAGTTCTGAATAGGCAGTTTGAGAGTGGTGATGAAGCCTCCTTTATGTTACATCTGACAAAAGTTCCTCAAGCTCCGGACTTCCCTGGTGGCACAGTGGTTAAGAGTCCACCTGCCAATGCAGAGGACACGGGTTCGATCCCTCGTGCGGGAAGATCCCACATGCCGCAGAGCAACTAAGCCCGTAAGCCACAACTACTAAAGCCTGCGTGCCTAAAACCCGTGCTCCGCAACAAGAGAAGCCATCGCGATGAGAAGCCCACACACCACAAGGAAGAGGAATCCCCGCTCTCCGCAACTAGAGAAAGCCAGTGCGCAGCAACAAGACCCAACGCAGCCAAAAATAAATAAATTAATTAATTAATTCATGAAAAAGTTTGTCAACCTCACAAATTTGAAAATCACATAAAAGTATATATAAGGAAGACTCTTGTGAAGATTTCTTAAATTAAGGGGCAGCATAAAATGACATGGGGTTTAACATCAGTTAAGTTGTGTTTGGCCTCTAGTTTCCACCTTTACTGTCATGAACCTTAAGTAAGTCACTTAACCATCCTGAGTTCGAGTTTCTTCATCTAAAAACAACAAAGAAAGGTCTGGGGAACTGGGGGATCACTGGAGCAGTGAATCTGAGAGCATTCTGTACACCACAGTGCTGTACAAACGCTGGCCTTTCCCCCCGCACCCCCCCCCCCGCCCCGCGCTGGGATCTTAGCTCCCCGACCAGGGATTGAACCCGTGCCCTCAGCAGTGAAAGTGCAGAGTCCTAACACTGGACCGCCAGGGAATTCCCGATGGCCTATTACTTTTAAATTCAGCACTTCATCCCAGTAGAGCGAGGAATTCCACATTTGGACCCACCTTCACTGGAGATGTCTGGAAAAGCTGCTTCTGGTCACATGCCTTTTGGGCTCTGTGGGCATCCCTTGCTGAATAAAACTTGATGATGCCATAGAACCCAGGACCGGCCACTGCTGCGTTTGGGAAGACTCGGACCGAATACAGAAGGCCAAACTGGGAGAAGACTGTGAACACAGAATGCTGTAGGGTGGTCCCATGCTAAGTAAGTGCAGGAAATTTCACGCCCAGGAAAACAAACCGCCCATTCCCTTATATTCCCCCAGCCCTTCGCCACAGGCAACTGTGGTGAGCCGGCAACTCCAAACACTTCTCATTTTATGAACAAGTTTCCCTCTGAAATCCTAAGCTTCGAGAAGCATTAGGAGGCAATGCCGTCTGTTGGGAACTATCTCTCAAAAATCTCTGTGGGCGAGCTGACTGCTCAGGTCGGCTCTAGAACTAAGATTCCTCTCAGCGGAGACCACAGGCAGATGAGGTGCTGAAGCAGTACCCCGGGGCGCAAAGTTACTGGGGCGCGGGGCGGCTTCCTCCACCCCTCCCTCCGCCCCGGCTCGGCTCACTTGCAAGGCCTCGGCCGTGGGTCCAGAGCTCAGCTCCCACACCAGCAAGGTTTTGTCACCCGCGACGGGAACCGCAAAAGGTACCAACTCCACCATTCTGCCGTTACCGCGCGTGCGCGGCTCGAGGCGCAAGCGGACTGCGCCTGCGCACGCGCGCCCGCGCTTTTTAAAAAATGGAGCCTGAGGGGCGGAGTCAGCTCGGTGGGAGTGGGACGGGGGCGGTGCTCGGACGTCTCCCTCGCCCCTCCCACTCCGGGCTTGCCTCTGCCTCTAGTTCCCCTTCCGCAACCCGCGCGCCCAGAAGTTTTGGAGTTTAGCGTTTCTATTCAAGTGTATTTTTAGCGTAGAGTCCAAAGTGTGAGTTTACAGGATCGAATGGTGCGGACATGTTTATAGCAGCTGGCTTCATCTTCAAACTCCCAGAGAAGAGTAGAGTACTAAGTAGTTAGCGCTAACTATCCACTGAACTTTAAAAATTTAGATTTCCTGACTCTGTGTGAGAAATGACCACCAAAGATGCAATCCTTCGACTTGAGTGTTTTCATAAGTCTTAAATATGCAAATCAAGGTATAACATTAAAGCCATCGACAGTCTAGTACGAAATTCTTAAGAAGTTGGTTTCTAGCCCATTTTCCTAAAGTACCCCCAAATCACTGAGCACATTTCTGCATCCCCACCACGACTTTCTCCACCTCAATATAGCAGACACTTAGCCCCACCCATTACCTACTTCTGAGCTCTTTTACTTCAAAAATTGTTGACTTTGCAGGAATTACTTGGATCTTGATACTGTTTCAAACCAATAACTATAGATTTATTATCTATATCATTATCCATTGCATTCATTGTATGTATCCATTTATTCATTGTATCCATTATCTGTGTATGGAGAAGATCCCCATAATCTTCTCCAGATTGATTATGAACACCTCATGAACAATATTTACAGATTTATCACCCTTTTTCTAGTACTTAGCACACTCATACTCTATTAGGTACTCAAATATATTTGGCTTAATCCGTTGCAGAGCACTGGCTCTAGGCAAGCGGGCTTCAGTAGTTGCAGCACGAGGGCTCATTAGCTGTGGCTCACAGACTCTAGAGCACAGGCTCAGTAGTTGTGGCACACAGGCTTAGTTGTTCGGCGACAGGTGGGATCTTCCCGGACCAGGGCTCGAACCCATGTCCCCTGTATTGGCAGATGGATTCATAACTACCGCGCCACCAGAGAAGTCTGGAAGGCAGATTCTTTACCACTGGACCATCAGGGAAGTCCCAGGATCAGCCTTTTAAAGGAGCATCCCAGAGATGTTTGAGTGCAGAGCTCCACAGACCATATTTTGAGAAATGATATTTCCCTATGGACACCTTTCCTCTGGCAGCCCTTTTGAATGGCAGCTATGTTCTCTCCAGTG